AATCTACTCTAATCCATTACTTTCCGATATTGTACTAATTAACGATGTAGTTAATCCACTAAACTAAGTATAATGAGATAACCTAAAAAAAAAAAGTTTCTATTAGTGCGAGATACACGAACTTTTGCAAGGTCCAACAGAAATGGCTTTCCTAATCATAGCAATATATTTGCTATCTTTAACAAAAAAAAACAAAAAAAGCAATATATTTGCTATCACGTAGGTACTCTTTTTAAAACCCTAGTTCCGTGCATTACTCGTTTTCCTTAAAATTTAAGGAAATACATAATTCACATTGTGTGGATCTTCTACATAATATACATGTAACCTTATAATGAAAACATTTTGTACTGTTTTGTCTATTTTAATAACATTGTCTACAAATAGTTTGAGACGATCTTGTTTTTTTAATCCAAACTAAAAAAGCTGTGGAAAATATGCGAGAGACAAACCTCAATAATTGGAAGATGAGCATTATTAAAAATACTGCCATAATTGATTTAGACCATGAACTTCAGTCTTCTAATTCTTGAAGTTTTGACTCTTCAACCATGCCACTTGTACATAGTTGGATAATATGACCCCAAGTTGCCAAAATCCAAATATATATTCCTACGAAAGTCATGTAAAGGAGTAATAAAAAACAATCATGTTTTGTGTGATCAATTATTAAACAATTAAAAAGAAAGATTTGAGGAAGAATTATTTAATGTGTTGTTGTGTAGTTTAATAGTGGAAAATAAAGGAAGATGATGAAATAGAGCAGCCAAGTGAATGACATTTAATTCGCACACCCAAAGGGAACGAAGACATTAGAGAACGCGTGCTTGACTCTATCTCCTTTCTCTCTTCCCCACGCGCTACCCTAGCGCGTATGAATCACGCGCTTTTTATAATTTCATTACAAAGGCGAATTATGTGATGGGTAAATTTACAAGCTAAGTAATCAAATGCTTAAAACAGTCACTGTGCTACTCATAAATATTTTTGGGTTTGGCTCGGATTTTGATAGAAATGGACAGGTTTAAATTTAATAAGCAAGTAGTAGAGTTGACTGGTTAGTCTCTTTCACGTGTTCTTGAAAGCGCGTGTTAACTTGTGTGTGGTGGATCACACATACACGCGTGTTGAAGGGTTACCGGCTTAACCGGTCATTTGTTGAGTGGTGGGTCCTCCCTTTAACACTCTCCAACTCCAGTTTACCATTTCCACTCACAAGCTGTTTATAAACTGGAGTATAATAAATACTTATAAATCTTTCTTTCATTGTTGTATTTTTTTGGGCCATTTAGGTGGATGATCATATTTGGAAGAATCAAGTATATAACAATGATGTGCTGTATTTCTCTATAACAAGCTGATTTTTTTTTTTTTTGTAAAATGTAAATATCTTGTTATTTAGAGTTAGAAGACAAAAACATGCTATTTAGAAAAAGGGAGGATTGGTTTAATTAACACATCTACTGTATATTTTTGTGTGTGTTTTTTACATTAAAAAATTATTTATTTGATTAACACATAATTCATAGTCATTTAGTGTTATACACAAACTTTTAAATAAATAAGGAAAGGAGTAAATTAGATTTCCTTTGTCAGTTTTAAGGAAAAAAATACGAATTTTTCAGTAGAACAGTCAGCAGAAGTGGGACCTTCAC